CATCATACCAGCATATCCAAGTATATATAATCCAAAATTAATCAAAACTTTTGAATTTTACAATTGAAATTAATATAATAAAATAATAAAATTCAATAGTTAAATGCAATTGTAATTGAACATATACAAATGCACCAAGAAGCATTAAATTAGCAAGTTATTAAATAATTATATAATACTTGGTCTTTAAGAAAAGACAACACTGTGACATGAAGTTCACCTCTCAATAGTTTTGTTTTCATGCCCTATATATATATATATATATATATATATATATATCACAAGATTGATGTATGTAATAATAAAATATTATTTTAATACACCAAAAGCTTACATGATTCCTATTCCAGCACATCCTCCAGATACATGAAGTAAGCAGAATTTTAACAAATCTGTTATGCCTTGAATTCCCTTGATCTGGAACTGAAGCATATAACTTCTATCGACATGAAACAATCTAATATACTTATTGATTCTGATGTCTAAACGAGTTTTTTCAATATCAATTGGCTCTGTACAATTAGTATTCCAATTCAAGTAGTAGTGATAAACAGAGCTTGAACTTTTAGTTAATTTCTCTTCAACACGGAAGTGGCACAGTCCAGTTATTTGTTCTGTCTCAAAGCCTCAACTATATTCATGTTCTATAGAGTCAGACGTTCCTCCAGATCCATATCTTATCCTTACTTTATGGAATGCGGTGCAACTGAAGTACCACTTGATATATTCATTAACTTTTGTTTCTATTATCACAAATAACATATGTTATCTATGATGCAAAGACATAAACTTTAAAATCCAAAACATTAAACAGAGAAGCCAACCTTGTAATCTTGGAGTTAATTATTACCACCAACATCAATATAATTTTGTGCAATATTTGTTTATGATTTCTACATTAAAATTTAAACCTTAACTTTGCTCTGATACCAATTATTGGGTTTAAATAACAAATAACAAGTAGAAATCAAAATTGATCATGAATTAAAGAGAGGTTTTTGATATCATACACTTTAGATACCTTTGAGAATTCCCTATCGCCTTTTGAGAGATCTGAAAAATAGAGCGTTTTACTCCCTTCAAAACCCTTATATATAATAACAACAGGAGAACGGCTTCTCTACAAACAAGCATACCTAAGTCTCCCTTCCTATCATGAAAATATAGATATCAATGGTTAAAATTAAATCATACCAAATAAGTTGAAAAACCACAATCCAATGGTATAAAACCATACGCCCAATTAGACCACCAAATTGAAAAGTACAAACCCAATTCATCAAATATCAATAATTACATTACAATCCTACGTTAGAAAACGTAATGCATACGAGCATAAAATAATTTTTATTATTTAAATATATATATATAAATTCCAATAGGCAGACCCCAATGGAACTGACTCAACTGAGTAAAATTGATCCCGTGCCAGTCTATTACGGAGTATTACTATAGAATAAATAATTAATAATTTAGAATAAAGAAATTTACAAATGAACTCGTTCTTTTGAAAGCATAATCATTGGTCCAATAATTAATTGGACATATAGCAATGTTTTGGATTATTATGATCTCAAAATTGACTGTAAAACAAAAATGAAATACAATTACTATGATACTAACATTTTGAAATAAGGACCTTTCAATAAGAGACGCAAAAAAATATGTGGCGTAAGGGTGGGGAAGGTCAGGATCGAATTCCCATTCCATTTAGAGTTGCTTTTAAAAAAAAAAAAAGTTTTTGGGCTGGGATCAACTTTGACTAATGAATTGAACTTAAACTAGAAAGAGAGACGCAAACCCATCTCGAAGGCCTTAATTTAACGAGCTACACAACTCTTGATAAGCTGAGCTTCGAGTTTCAAATGGATTTTTATACTTAACCTTTTACAGAGACTTCATTAGGCGGGGCTTAAATAAATGATAAAAGATGGTATATTACTAAATGATATATAGCTTTTGTTTGTGTTTTTTTTTTTTTTTTTTTTTTTTTGGTTTTTTTACTAGCTTACAAATCAATCATCACCTACGTAGTCCGGATATAAATAGGGGTGCGATACAATATAGTCACGGTGAGGACACAAACCGTAGTATGAATTCGCCAATAATTAATAACATAATATATAATTTTTATTATTTTTCTAATTAACCTACAATATATTTAAATTGCATTAAATCCTATTTTTCTAAAAAAAAAGAATTACAAAACCACTTCCAAAGTGTCTTGAAAGCATCCAAAATGCGTTCATGACTGTGTCCAGAGAAAAAAATATATATGTTTAAATTTCAGTACGCTTCTAGCCTTGTCCTGAAATTTAAATACTTTCAAACAAATTATTCTCAAAATATATATTTCTTTCTTTCCTTAAGTGGAAAGAAAGCTGAGAAATCACCACCCATTCTTGAGTGTCTTCCATCACAGTAGAGATATTTGATGGTGAGATATATATGGGACGGCCTCGAAACATTAATCAACACCTTGACATCACTCTCAAAGGTTTGATTTGGTTATTAATGAAATTTAAAGAGAAACTAATTTCCATTATATCTTGATGAATTTTTACTGATACAATTAAAGAAAACTTTCAACTGAGTCACAATACATAATATAATCTAACAAGAAGCACACCATTCCTCAATTGAAGATTTAAATATTTAATTTCGTGACACAAACCCACGGTAGCGAGCTGGATTTGCCGACGCTTGGAGCCAACGGTGTGAGTTTGGTTTCTCCAACACAAGCCTCACCCGAAATGGCTGAAAACTGCAACCTAGAGTGTTACAAAGCTATTGAGTTACCAATACTTTCCTTTCATATTTTAAAAAAGGATATGGTTTATTACCTCTAATTCCGTACAAAAACATATATCAAACAGAATACGTGTGTAGCTTTGGTTATAAACTTAGTCTATGGTTTTGGGATAGCAAATTGATAGAATTTTATGAAAACGCATATCACACAGTTTATGGAGCTTTGGTTGTAAATATTAAATAAACAGCTCATCTAATTTATGGAAGAAATCTCAAACGAAGAATCAATTCTCCTTGAGCATAAACAGCTCATCCCCTCAATGGGTCCTTTGTCAAATGGGGCAGTTTCATAGAACATCAGCACTAAGTGGGAGAAATGAACAAGGTCAATACTCGGTGTTTACCTGCAACAATTTGAAATGCACAGAGCTTGAACTAGGTAAAAAATGCAATCAAACAAAAATCAGAATTAAAAACATGCAAAATAAGTTCTTAGAAAAACCAGTTCTCAGAATTCAAAATGCAAAACTCTAATATGGTCTTTGTTTTTATGATCATACACCTTTTCTTGAATTAACAATCCCAACATTGATTGGGTTGGTTTATGGAATTTATTTGTGAAGAAAAAGGTAACAACCACAATAAAATTCGCAACAATAAGTTATTGTATTATAATTGCTATATCATATTAGCTAATGCTTAACAAGTGGAAATATCCTAATTACGAGTGCTTAATTAAATGAAGATCATGCAAGACCTTAAAATATGTCAGATATGCAAGTCTGCTAAGCAGTTTCATCTTTAAAAATGCATCATAAAAGCATCTCCAATGGCCTCTTAAATGGGCTCTCAAATTCAAAATATAGTAGGTGGATGAAAATAAGGCACTCTTTCAAAAGACCTCTTATATTTTGAGATACTCAAACTCATTTTCAAATATAGCAGCTCACAAATGGCCTCTCAAACTAAAAATATAGTAAGTGGATGAAAATAGGCACTCCAATAGCCTATCTCAAAAGACTTTTCATATTTTAAGATTGTCAAAAATTGCTAAAATAAAAATAAGGTACTCCAATGGGCTCTCAAAATATGGAATGGTTGTTGTGTCAAAAAATAGCATTTTGAATGAAATGTTACAATGGAGCAGAATTGTAAAAATATAACATTTTGACACCGTAACTCCTCTTAAAATATAAATTTAGCATGGAAATATAGTATTTTGCATTGGAGATACTCTAACACACAAATATTATTATGGTAAAGATTTACATGATACTAAGGTTACCTTTCTTTAATGCACAAGATATGCAATAAACCCACCCGTTCATCCTTTATCACTTCATAAAAAATTCTCTTTGTAAACAGGAGCGAGCGGACCCAGGATGTCAACCCTATCATATATCTATGACCCCTCAAATTTTGATGTTATAAGAAGGGGTTTCATGGTGATGATTTGGTGGTCCGGTAACATGATGGAAGATGGGTTTTGGATGCTATGCACTACTGGTTTGCAGGCAAACAGTGGCGGACCAACAGAGGGACCAAGGCCACACCTCCCCCAAAATTTTTAAAAATTTATACTAACTAGGTCAAGCTTGATGTATTAAGTTAAGTCTAATGTGTATATGAACCTATATGATACAAAAAAAATTCAACAATTAAAGGTAAATATACGCAAATTTGATGGAGAATGCGTCATAAAAATAGTTTAATTTTTTTAATAATTATTTAGTAAGAAAAATGGATTAAGTGTTATTCAAAAAGGGTATTTTGGTCATTCAATGAAAAATAGTCCATCAAATGACCGACATGGGGGCATTTTGTAACAAAAAAATGTGATAGTTAAGGAATATTGCGTACTAAATATAGTTCAAAAAGTTTTTTTTAACCAAAGGTTCTTGTAACTAAAAGAATTAAACACTATGCTCAATTGTATGTCTTGAATTCTAAATTTCCTTCAATTTGGTATTTATGGTCATTCAATAAAAAGTAGTCCAACAAATGACCGACATAGAGACATTTTGTAACAAAAAAATGTGATAGTTAAGGAATATTGCATACTAAATATATATATATATATATATATTTTTTTTTCAGAAGCTCATGTTTGAACTGACCAAAGGTTCTTGTAACTTAAAGAATTAAACACTATGTTCAATAGTATGTCCTTCAATTTTAAGAATTAGACACTATGCTCGATAATATGTCTTCAACTCTAAATTTCATTCAATTCTAAGTGCTTTCAAACAACAAATTTAATTTGAGTGCATCAACATATATAACAGAAGTAATTAACATCCTCATCATCACTTATCAACATCATCGTCATCAGTAGAGCATTAAAATCCTCATCTAGAATCGTCATCTAAAATTACGTAATTCTATTACATAAATATACATTTGATTAGGAAGAATTGTCATCTAGAATCACGTAATCCTATTGCATAAGTATACATTTGATTAAGAAGAATCGTCTTCTAAACAAAGAACCATAAGAAAATTCTGATATGTTGTCAGAGGGAATGTTGTTCACCCACATCTCGTGCAAGGTAGATAAGAACCCGGGGAACATCTCAATGATCTCAATTGCAACTTCTTCGTCAGAATACACCTGGATGGGAGAAAATTTTATTTAAAACAATTAAAAGAATAAAAAAAAAAAATATTGAAGTAAAAACTTTAGAATTCATACTAGTAGAGCATACCTCATGCCTACGAGTACCGAACGATGCTGCATGCCTTTTTCGCTTTTTCTGCATCGAATATTTGCAAACTGATTTCGTAATTGCATTACTTGGGATGAAGGTGTCCCACCCATTGGGACACCATTTATTTGGGGTCTTCTTCAATACATTAGATTGTGATGAGTTTCGTCAGCGCAGGCTAATCGACATCATGTGGCATCAAAGTAATAAATCATCCATGAACAGAGGATGTTTCCGAAGATAGCACTTATCAACATCATCAATTGTCATCACTCGTCATCTAGAATCACGTAATTCTATAATCACGTAATCCTATTACATAAATATACATTTGATTAAGATAAACTGGAAAGAGACTTCCTATCGTAGTTAGTCATTTTAAAACCAACATCACTGCTACAACGGTAATGAGATTTATATAATTCAATTAGCTAAACAAAAAAACGTACCTATTTTCTTTTTTGCCAACTCCACCCATTCCTATTGACTCTCTTCTTTCAAAAAAAAGACCTATATTATTAGGACAAAAGAGAAAAAGTTTTAAAAGCGTTAATAAACTTGTAAAACATATATTCTGAAATTAAAAACTAAACTTCCAAGTCTTTAATTCCCATTAATAAATTGTTCGAGCATCACAACATAACAAGATCGTTCAAGCATCACATCATAACAATATTATATATATGTATGTAGAAACAAAAACAAAAATAAAAAAGCAGTACGTAAAACATGAATAAATAAACGTAACCAATAGCCAAAAATGCCAATTAAAATTTTAGAAAAAGTAAGAGTTTGTTACCTAATGACTGAGGAGACATATTTCTTGAACCTTATTCTTGCTAAATGTTAAGGCCCGATGCTAACCCTAAAAATAAGAAAACACTCAAATTATAAGGAAGATGTTTCACAATCTCACTCATAACAATTAAAATACCACCATCTAAGTACTATCTGTATCATGTATCAACCCAACCCAAATATGCTTTCAGTCAAAATGTTAGACACCTATCCGTAAAAAAAGGTGTACTTACGGATAGGTGTATTATACTCAGCTCTGATGTAAAATTAATCCAATAACAAAGTACAATGCATCAGTTTAAGAATAATCTTCAAAATTAACAAAGCAATATCCTACTATTATGCATTCTAATAACAAAAGAAAATCAAAAATCAAAATTAAAAAATAAACATATGACAGAAAAATTAAATATATCCTTCGTGCATCACACATATTGTATTTCTATGCGAAACAAAACATTATTAGTAGGGCGGATCCAAAATTTCTCAATGGGGTGGGCTAAATCAAAATATATCAACCAAAATCAACTGTTGTTTTATTCAATTTTAGTTAACAAACAATGTTTCTTTAGACAACCGACTGATTAATGCATAGAAAATCCTATTTGGGAAATTAGTAAAAAAAATTACCAATTTATTTCTGAACAATTCACCACTCAGTACCCTCTCTTCTTTTGACCAATTTACTAATCTTATTTGAGAATCTACTAGTGGAAGCAGAGTGTGAGGTAGTTCATGGCAAGCCCCTTCCAACACTATGGAATTCACTCAAAAGCATGCTTTTTGTAAGTATTTTAATTTTCAAGAAGTAACTTTAGAGCTTTACCCTATATTAAGTACTTTTGCTTGTCAAAGCTCTTGTTATGATTTTTTTTTTTTTTAGTTCTGAAAAGACTTCCATCTTCAAAAAGCTTGGCATGTTGATAAAAATTGTTTCAGATTGAATCTCTGCAAATTTCTAATCCAATTCAGATTCTTTTTTTTCTTTTTTTTTTTCTTTTTTCATGCCCAGATTCAAATTTTCTTGTAGACATAATTGACAATAATAATAAATAAATAAATAACAGAAATAGAAGTTATAGATATTAAATATATATATATATATATATATATATATATATATATATATATATATTTGTTTTGATGAAATAAAATGTAGATTATAGTGATTCCCACAAAATGCAATGCAAATTTTGTTACTTTATATTGTAAAAAAAAATTATATAAAAAAGATCATAAAATATTTCACCAAATAGGATTTAGTTTGCAAAACAAGAATTACAGAGCTTGATTAATTGATTTAGAAAAAAAAATTAAAACAAAACCCATACAAGTTAGCAGTTGCAGAGGGAGAGAGGGGGACAAGCCTGAGAGTTGAGAGACAGCGGCTGAAGCATGCAAACGGTGAAACCAAACTGAAACAGCGGGCGATGGAAACTGAAAGACATGGGTTTTCAACTCCTGATTCTTGTAGATTTTGTAATTTGCAGTTGGAGAGAGAGAGAGGGGGTAAGTTCAGAGTAGAAAACGAGAATAGAGATGGAGGCGATTGGGGAGGCTGTAATGATTTGCCCTAAAAAATATATTGTCTTGGGTCAGGGCCGGTCCCAGGCTTATTTGGCCGGGGCTTTTATTTTAGTATGGTGGCTGAGTTGACTTGGGCTTGATTGGGTGTACTAATATTATTAATATATATATATATATATATATATATATATATATATATATATATATATTTTTGGACTAGGTCAAAATTAATATAGTAAATTTCTCTTTTTTTTGGATGGGCTCATCTAGGCCTGATCACGGTTCGGTTTGGGGACAAATCCCAGGCCGAACCGGTTCCCATGATTGGTGAAAACTGAAACCGAACCAATCCGGGGGATCTGTTTGGTTAGGATTGAAGGCCCCCACGGATCGGTTCGGTTCCCACGAATTAAACTAATTGGGCTTTTCAAACAGCCCAATAGATTATGGCCCATTACCGGCATTCAATTATGGCCCATTAACAGTAATAAATTATGGCCTTCGAACCTGTTGTCATCTACCGGGAAAATAAATTGTTACAAAAATTAGTGGAAGATGGCTAGATCACAGCAACAACAGTGAGAATTAAACATGTATGTAAAACAGTAAGAATTAAACATGTATGTAAATCAGTGGAAGATTGCTAGATCACAGCAACAACAGAAAATTTAGCCCTAAAAGAAAAAAAACTATGACACTAAGAATTAAAACTAGTTGCTAGCCAACAAATGGGTGTAGATTTCTGCTACTCTCTAGATGTAAAGTGGGTCAAATTTAGTTTGAAAGATATGTTTATAATGAATCATATTCTACAGATAAATTAATAATTAATTATATAAGTGAACAAAAATAAAGTTAAAAACAACATTAAAAATGTTCCAAAACAAGATGAGTGATAATAATTAGCTTTAGAACTTTCTACATAAAAAAATAAAAATAAAAAATTTCCTTTATAATTATAGTCCTCTAATAAAGAGACGACAAATTTTTCTAGTTAGCCCACTTACCTCACTTTAGATTGACTTAATTGTGTTCTAAAAATCATACTATAAAGTATTTATATAAAATGTAGAGTGAAACTCTACGAAATATCTTTCAAAACTGTTTTTATTTTATATTTTTGTTGTTAAATGCATAAAAAAAATACTGAAGTAAAAGTTGCAATCATATTTGGTAACTTAAATCTAAAAGTAACAAATATATATATATATATATATATATATATATATATATATATATTTGTTATATACTCCATTACAGGAATTTCTATACAAAACAAGAGGTAAAATATGTAGATAAAATCATAGAATTAAGTAGATAAAATGCAACCCTTTTTCTGGTAATCAAACAACAGTTTATGCATGCAATCAGTGGAAAACCATTACAAAAAACAATTTGTAAGAAGTAGAAAAGAGGAGAATAAGAAGATCCATGCAAAAAATGTTCAGAGAAGAGGAGAATAAGAAGATCCATGTAAAAATCTTATGAACTCACCGGAAAAAAGGTAGATCCAGTCGAAGAGGTCGCCGTTGCTTCAATACGCAGAGGTCGCCGTTGTTTCAAATCTAGTGAATGATGGTTGAGAGGTGTTAGATTGAGAGGCGAGAGATTGAGAGGCGAGAGGAAGACAGAGGCGAAAAGTGTCACAGAGGCGAGAGGAGAAGACTGAAGAGGGTGGAGAGAAGAGGCTGAGTTAGTGAGAGAGGCGCGGCTGAAATGAGATTGGAGTAATGAAGAGGCGCGGTTGAAATGAGATTAGAGTAATGAAGAGGCGAGGCTAAGATTAGGTTAACATTAAAAGAATAATGAATAGAGGAAAAAAAAAAAAAAAAAAAAAGGGGCATATTGTGTGTGTATGTGTATATATATATAGATATGTGAAATATATTATTTATTTAACGATTCGGTTCGGATTGGTTAACTGTTCGATTCGATAACGGTTCGGATCGGATCGGTTAACGATTTAAATTGGATTTTTCAAAGTCCAATCTGTTAACTGATCTGCGAATATCGAATTACAGATTTTTCAAACCACCACCGAACCATGAGATTTGAAAACTGAATCGAACCACACAGATCGAATTGATTCGAATTGAATTAACGGATTATTTGCTCACTCCTAGGCTCATCCGCCCTTGCCAAGATGTTAACCCTATCACATATCCCATATATGTATGACCCCAAAACTGATTCTATTATATATTAGTCATGAACCAGTGGATATAATATACATACTAAAAAACTAAATTAATAATACACACGAAAACAGTGCATTTATTGCATATATTCGTTCATCATCTCTACACCAAAAATAACTTAAATTGTTTTAAAATTTTATCCTTATAATTTTTTTAAAAAACAATAAATTTCAAAAATTAAACGTAAATATATACAAATTTATGGAGTGGAGAATACGTCATAAAAATAGTTTAATTTTTTTAATAGTTATTTAGTAAGAAAAATGGATTAAGTGTAATTCAAAGAGGGTATTATGGTCATTCCATGAAAAATAGTCCATCAAATGACAGACATGTGGGCATGTTGTAACAAAAAAAATGTGATAGTTAAGGAGTATTGCTTACAAAATATAGTTCAGGAGTATTTTATTTATTATTATATCAAAAAGTTATTTACAAATTTCAACATAGTTGAGTGAGATTTTTTGCACTCTACTCAAAAATTTTATTTCACAAAATTTGCCATTTTACTTTCCTCTAAACAATAAAAAATGAACCAATAATTTCAAAAATAAAAGACGTAAAAATTCCAATAAACCATCTCTCTCAAATATTGGTTCATAGGTAATGAAATGCTTATCAAGTATGCACAAACAAGTCATAAATAAGTCAAATTTAGTCACGATCTAAAAGTTAGTGTAAGTAAATAGAGGATGTAAAAAATAATTTTCATGTGATAAACAGGTAAAAAAAAAAAAAAACCTTTAAGAAATTTTGCAAGAACTTAAAGTAACTTGCTAGAATGCTGCAAGCATTGATCTATCCGTTCTGTTCAATTAAAACTAACGTTATAGTAATGAACTTACCAAAAAACAAGTAATGAGCTAATATAACAGGATTTTGTTTTTTCAAATACATCGAGAAAAACTATTATTAAGATGGAGAATTAAAAGAAGAAGTAAAATGCAACACATACCATCAACTTCTTTTCGGACACTACTCATGCCATTCAACTTTTCCCTTTTTGTCATAGAGAAGTTTTGTATTATTTACATGAATAAAATATTTGAAAACAGATTATTAATATTTATAAGTATTTACAAATGAATAAAACTAGAGTATTAATAACAAAATATCCCGTTTGATCACAAGCCCACTACTGTGCTCTCCTATTGCCTATATTTTTTGAATGATGCTTTTAAGGAAAACTCTAGTGAGAAAAGTAATGAATTTTTCCTATTTAACCATTAGATAAAAAGATGCATTTCACTTATCTCAAATATATATATATATATATATATATATATATATATATATATATATATATATAAGGAACACTATTACTCTACATATATAAGTAAGGAATAGGGAGATATATATTCAACAATTAACCCAATATTTGTTATGGTATGGGATTGCTTATCAAATAAATGAAGTGCATTTTCATAATGCGGTGTATAAAGGGCCTTGCAAATAACAGGCTGTGGGCCTCTTGGATTGAGGGCTTCAAATGGGGATACAATTTTTTATGATTGTCCTTTTATTAGGGCTTCATTGGGCTTGGATTTGAGACAATTTTGGGTTGGGCTGCGGAGGGACAGAAAGATTGCTTCAGAGTAAAAAATATCAGTTAAATTCATGCCTCACGCAAAAAAAAGTTGCTTTCATAATGTATGAGGTAGCAATAATGTTTGGAACATGAGATAAAGATTGTGGCCCTAAACCCAATCTCATTCTTTGGAGATTTTAATATTTAATTATTATTATTATTATTTTCATTGACAAGTGAGAAACTCACATACCCATTCGTTTTTATAGAGACTTAAATCTTAATCACCTATTTTAGGAGGAATACTACTTAGTTTACAACACCTTCTAGTCTATATAGCTTAAGATTGAATATCATTGTAACATTAACTTAAGAATGTATATATATCTACATTTTGTTTTTTTGGCACAAGAATATATAAATATATATCAAAAAATACTTTTCTAGTCAATTTTGATTTGAGTTAATGGCTAAGTTACATAAAATAAGGATAATAACGTCTACGAAGATGTAAAAATGATAAAATTTAAGTCACGTGGTGTGAAAATAGGAGAGAAAAGAATATGTACAGCGTGAGTGAGGGGCGCCAATTGAAAATAAATAAATAATATGTGATTTAAGTTGATAGAGTGTGCATTAGTGGACCCTACCAAAACTGATGGACTCCACTAGTTAAATCGGGTAGAAAAGCAAGGCAGTTATAATATACATTTGTGACAAAGCTTCAAACACAGAGGCATGAACCGTCCGTTGACATAGTTGAGGAGAGGAGGCTTGAATTAACGTGCAGCTTCAATAAATGTTGGTTTGATTAATAACCCTCGAGGTTGACATGCACAATCTGAACATGATATAAAGTCATTCCACAAACAACTGAAGTTAATTTTTAACAGTGGTCGAAAGTGACGAGACTTTTCAAATTCTTTTTATTTATTTATTTATTTTTATCAAGTCTTCAATTTTTAAAAGCCAGAGCTATAACAAATTTTCTCAGTTTAAAGATTCTATCCACAACCTTACATATTTGCTTCATACACATGGAATAGACAAATGTGACCGTAATTTGTTTTTTTTTTTTTTTCTATTATATAAGTTATAAAAGTAAAAAAATCAACCAAACAGAATTTATCAAAAAGAAAAAAGAAATTAAACAAAAAATAAACACTTTGTTGTTTTGGCACATGCACATCTGCCATTATATATGTGTCTACTCTTAAATGGGTAAGAGGGTTCGTCTTATTACAATAGTAAAATCATTTTATGGTAATTTAAAGATAGTATGAATACAATCTATTTATTTTATTTATTATTATTTTTTTCTGAGTAGTTACACATGCACTATTAGTGTATACATAATTGTTTAATCTTTATGCTAGCCACACATATGTATTTAGGGATTATGAAAAAAAAAAAAAAAAAAAAAAAAAAAAAAAAAACCTCTTTTCTGTAGTATTGCTTTGAGATCTATCATTAAACTGTATATATAAAAAAATATACTACATATAAATTATATAATAAAATATATTAAACAAACCATTTAATTCTTTGAGCTTAGACAACTGATGGTCAACCTGACGTTTACTATATCATGGTCTCACCAAGAAAATTAAAATCAGTAATTTACATAACAGATGAGCCAAAACTAGAGTCACATGCATTATTTATTCATTTATTCATTTTTCTCTAATTTTAAAAAATTGTACTTAGTTGACTTACTTTGTGATTGAGATGAGTCGGTGAGCCACAGGCCCAACAGTAACTGATAGTGAACTTAAATCCGAACACATGCATCAAACACCCATTACTAGTCATATTCGAACATACTCATTTTCGAATAGTAGTTTATAAGCCGGACGGATCAGAAAGTTGTGAAAGTGGGGATAAAAGTAAATTTAGTTTTTTTTTGTAATTTAAGAAAAAGGCAAAGTAAAATTTTATAGGTATATAATTAAAAATAAAAAAAATTAGTGATATATAATACTAAAAAAAAATTCAGTGGGGGCATTTATAAGTCGTATATGCCCATGTAAAAATTAATCTCAATTAAAAATTAAATAAGTTGATATTAGGAAAAAAAATGAAGACACCAATAATCAATATGCCATCAATTACAAACCATTAAATCCACTTAATTTATAAGTAATAATATTTAGCTAAGGATTGACATGGTTCATGGAAAAATAAACATGGACAACTCAAACCTCTTCATTCCTTTTTTAAAGATGTGGAAGGTATATTATTGGACTAGAAGTCCTTTGGTGAGTAATTTATATTTAAAAATTAAAAGGTTTGATAAGTGAAAGTTTAAACAAATAGTCATGGCGTCTGATTTAGTAATTTTTTTTTTTTTTTCTTTCAAAATAAAATGCAAAGGATTCGAGTCTCCCGGTGTGAAATGTTGACATTGAGAGACTCCAATAAAAACATTAAAATTTTGCCTACATCCACTCTCAAATAATAAATCATATTATGCAAATATGTCTAGTCCATTTTTCAGAATTCAGATGCAATCCATTTCCTGCCAAAAGAAGGTTTTCAACATCCATTTTTGTGAGTTATTCGAATGAAACCAAAACATAAAATGAACAAAAAGTCTTTAATATCAAAATCCAAATTCTACATGCAACTTGTTAAAATGTCAGAAATTGAGCCAAAGGTTTACCCACGACGACTTATGTTCTCGTGAGAGGCAAGCATGGAAAAGAATTTGGAAATATACGTACACTTAAGAAGTGGTATTAATATTTTACCTTCCAATATTTCGCTTCCCGAATCCAGTAGAATGGAACAGTACGTTAAATCCAAGGATTCCTTAATAGATTATTCTATGGGTGTGTTTGGCTGCATGTAATTGAAATTTTGGAATTGTAATTTGTGAAATTTAAAAAAAATAATTAAGAAAATTGAACCAAAAATTTCACGAATTTCAATTTAAGTTCTAATACTTTAATTCTATGTAACCGAACAAACCCTATATATATTTGGATTTGGGCATGTCTATCAAAACAAAAAATCCCTCTTTACTATTGATATAGTGCAAAACGGTCCCTGTATGGTAAAAAAAAAACCATATACTATTAATTTGGTGCAAATAGGTCCCTGTGTGATATAAAATGATGATAATACCCTCGTAGCAAAAAGAAATAAATTAATATACAAGTCATGTAAAATGATTATTCTGCCCTTAATTAAACCACATCGTTTTATATGTTTTAAGTTTGAGATGCTAACATGGCCCTACAATCCCCTAACCAATAAACAATGGACAACACAACTTTTTTAAATCACAAAAGTAGTACTGTTACTTGCCAAATCACCAAACCAAGTCTTTGCGCCAAACAACACATACCCTAAATCTTTTATCTTCTCTCTGCAACCCTA